GCTCCCCCCTCCTCCCCCCCAGGCCCTTCAGAGCCCCCTCAGATCTCAACAGACCCGCAACTCTGCAGATCCCCGTGGTCAGTTTCTGCAGCGCAGCTCCTCCAGAAGTCAGCCCCAGGTAACACACACACACACACACACACACACACACACACACACACACACACATAGAGACAGAGACACATAGAGACACACACACACACACATACACACAGATACATGGGCCCTTTCTCATTTCTCAAACTCCCCTCCTCGACTCCTATCCTCAACTCCTATCCTCAAGACTTAGTCCCGCCCACAGGAGATGCGAGCCGAGGAGCCGAGGAGGGGAACCAAGGAGAGAGGAGGGGAAGCAGCAGGCGGTTAGAGAAATGAGAACTCCTCTCCTCTGAGCGGTCATTTTAAAGAGACGTCCATCAATGATGACAGGAGGCACAGCACTCTGTCTGATGGACAGATGTGTTCATGATGACTTATATATTTACTTTGATTCATTCACAGTGCGGTATAATGAGACAATAACAGGCTACAGATGCGGACACACACACATACGCACACACACACACACACACATTATATATATATATATATATTTATATACAATTTCAGAATCAAACAGAGCACTCTCATAATAACGTAACACTATCAGAGACTGGATATATCCCCCCCCCCTCTCTGGTCGCTACAATGAGGGAAATAAATTACGGGCCAAAAGTTTTATTTACAAGTATTAAAAGTAAGCAGAGGACACCAAACCAACTGAGACCTGTCTGTCCGCTGCATCTACGCACACACTGTACCACACACACCTATACACACTGTACCACACACACCTATACACACTGTACCACACGCACCTATACACACTGTACCACACGCACCTATACACACTGTACCACACGCACCTATACACACTGTACCACACGCACCTATACACACTGTACCACACGCACCTATACACACTGTACCACACGCACCTATACACCACTGTACCACACGCACCTATACACACTGTACCACAACGCAACCTATACACACTGTACCACACGCACCTATACACACTGTACCACACGCACCTATACACACTGTACCACACGCACCTATACACACTGTACCACACACACCTACACACTGTACCACACGCACCTATACACACTGTACCACACACACCTATACACACTGTACCACACGCACCTATACACACTGTACCACACGCACCTATACACTGTACCACACTCACCATCCCACACTGTACCACACGCACCTATACACACTTACCACACCACCTATAACACACTGTAACACACGCACCTATACACACTGTACCACACGCACCTATACACACTGTACCACACACACGCACCTACAGCTAACAGCCGTTGTGTATTTTATTATGTGAAGCACTAAATGGTTTTAGAAAAATATGGACTCTTTGTTTGTAGTTATCTACTAAACTAAAGCAAATAAAGAGAGTAGGCCTGTTATAGTGATATATATTATACACACTGCTCTGCTTTCTGCACGGACCTCACAGCTGTTCTCTCTGGAAACATTGAGTCGCGATGAGAGCAGTTAATAAAATAATATCCAGGGGATGCATGCAGAGCTGTCATTGGCTGAGATACTCTTTGAAACATCTCTGTTCCCGGAAATGCATCCACGAAGGAGCCGTGGAGGACCGTGGAGGACCCATCAGTGTCTCCTCGGTTAGAGCTCCTCCAGAGAGCCTCCTCTCTCCTCTCTCCTCTCTCCTCTCTCCTCGGTTAGAGCTCCTCGGTTAGAGCTCCTCCAGAGAGCCTCCTCTCTCCTCTCTCCTCTCTCCTCGGTTAGAGCTCCTCGGTTAGAGCTCCTCCAGAGAGCCTCCTCGACGCTCGGTCCTCGGTCCTCGAAGTGCATTTAGAGAAATGAGATGTCCTTCAACATGGCGCCCTGAAATTCATTTCCGGGTCACTACCGGAGGACCGAGGAGTCGAGGAGGGGAATTTGATGAAATGAGAAAGGGCCATGGACACACAGACACATACACACTCACACTCTCACACACACACACACACACACACACACACACACACATATATACACAGAGACACACATACACACTCACACACACACACACACACACACACAGACACACACATATATACACAGAGACACACACACACACACAAACATATAGATCGGTATTGAAGAGGTAGAAGCAGATAAGGCTGCCGCATGTGTATGATTGCCATGGTAACCTCCGGTAGCACAGGGTGTGTGTGTGTGTGTGTGTGTGTGTGTGTGTGTGTGTGTGCGTGTGTTTGTGCGTGTGTTTGTGTGTGTGTGTGTATGGATGGAAAGTAAGAGTGTGTCGGTGTGTGTGCTCAGATTAATGACTGCAGTGGTGTGTGAACAGACCTGCTGATAGAGGGGCTTTCTGATCTGTGTGAATAGATCACACGAACACACACACACACACACACACACACACACACACACACACACACACACACACACACACACACACACACACACACACACACACACTGTAAATGATGATTGCTGTGTCAGCTGATTGTAGTTCCTCTCTTGTTATTGAATCTCTCTTTTCTTCATAGATTCGTGGACGGCATTGAAACGGACACCAACTCTCTGTGCTCTCAGAAGTTTGAGTTCAGTCCCAGCATGTCGCCTGCAGTATCGCCCTCCCCTTACACAGGTAACACACACTCACTCACTCACTCACTCACTCACTCACTCACTCACTCACTCACTCACTCACTCACTCACTCACTCACACTCACACTCACTCACTCACTCACTCACTCACTCACTCACACACACCACACACACACACACACACACCACACACACACACACACACACACACACACACACACACACACACACACACACACTCACACACACACTCACTCACTCACTCACACACACACACACACACACACACACTCACACACACACTCACCTCACACACTTCAGAGCAGAAATACCCTACCGTACCTGTACAAAATCTTCTACACTTTCCCCCTCCGCCTTTTTCAGGGAAACATATATTTGTAATTGTTTTGTGATAACTGCATTTGTTACAGCTGTTAGAGATGGAGCTATACTGCTGTGTAGCTTCCTACCAAGCTGTCAATCAAGTTTGATCTTGACATAAATAAAAAATGATCATTTTGTTATCATTAATTTGAATCTAAATATTTAAAGATATTTATTTAAAAATAAACCCACACAGAGAGAGTAGTATTTAGCTTCTCTGTCAGAAGAGTAGTTTTATTCAGAAGATGTTGGAACAATACGTTTTCTCGCTGTATATAGCACCACCATGTGGCCACTTTTGATATGGTAAGCCTTCTTGTGATTAAAAATGTGTGATTTGATTCTGTTGTGTGCGTGCAGGGAATCGGCAGCCCTCTGAGATCAAGCAGAGTGTTTCTAAACTGGCTGAGGAGGTGAGTGATGACGATGAAGATGAGGATGATGATAAAGTTAACACATCCACCTGAAGGCTCTAGTTACAATCCTTATCCAGCCTAACAGATGTCATTGCCGTAGCCCTTTTAGTATAGAATACCCCAAATTCACTGTGTCACAAACAATGTAATATTCTAATATGTAATAACAAAATCCTAAAAATGATTCATAGCATAATATGTAATAGATAGTCCAGTTCCAGATGCAAATCTAAATAAAATATAGTATTAAAATAACACATTAGAGGGGTTAAGCTGCTTTAGTTTAATATTCTGTGTGAAAAGTGAAAAGCATGCACTCACTATGTGAACTAAAGGTATGCAGATTATGTTTCAATGTAAATAAGAATCAACTTTGTCGGAGAGTTTTGCAAACACAGCAGTTTTCTCCTGAGCAACAAGAAACTTCATATTGCATTTGCATGAATTAACCTTCACTTGTGTGTGTGTGTGTGTGTGTGTGTGTGTGTGTGTGTGTGTGTGTGTGTGTGTGTGTGTGTGTGTGTGTGTGTGTGTGTGTGTGTGTGTGTGTGTGTGTGTGTGTGTGTGTGTGTGTGTGTGTGTGTGTGTGTGTGTGTGTGTGTGTGTGTGTGTGTGTGTGTGTGTCCTCTCAGATGAACAGCCTCACTAAGCAGGTGTCACTTCTCAGTCAGGAGCTGCAGGAGATGACCCGCCTCCTGAAGCCCCTCCTCCAACAATCCCCTCCTCCAATCCTGATGACCATGATGCCTAATCTAACCCCGCCTCCCAGCAGCAGCGCCAGCCAATTATCAACGAGCACCTGCTTGGTCCCGCCTCCCCTATCTTCTTCTTCCTCACCGAGACCAGACTCTCACTCCCTGTTGGACGGGGGAGACATCGAGGGTGTGGATTTGCCAGGATGCCTCTTACCGACTCCCCCTTCACCAAAAAGGCTTAATTTGTCTCCAAAACTTAAACGCGCCAACCCCAACCCTCCCTCCCTTGAGGAAGGACTCCCTGAGGGTCCTTTAGTCCTCCCTGAGGGTCCTTTAGTCCTCCCTGAGGGTCCTCTCCCCCTCCCTCCCTCCCCTGCTAACGGGATCTATCTCCCCTTTCTGCAGGACCAGCCTCCTTCCCCTTCACTTTCCCTCTCCTTCTCCATGTCTCTTTGCTCCTCACCCTCTTTCTCCACATGCCTCCTACCTCCTCCTCCCACCCAGGACACCCCCCCTCCTCGCCCAGCATACTCCCACTGTTCTGCACCCCCCTCCCTCACATCCTCTCCAGGCGACCACTCCACGGTCTCCGCCTCTCGGCCCATGTCTCTGGACTTTGTTAGGAGAAAGCAGGGAGACATCATCCCCCCTTGGTGCAACTCACAGCTGACCAAACCCCCCCCACAGGAGCTGGAGATGCAGGAGATGTGGGGGAGACAGGTGGGGGAGGAGGGGAGGAACTCCACAGAGCACATCAGCTTCATCGATGAAGAGGAGCCGGCGTTATTAACTGTTAAAACTGACTGAAAAGGAAACTAAGTAGCAGAAATGAGATCAGATCAGGGAAAGTGACTGAAATCACACACAGGAAGTGATTTTTCAGACAGGGAATGCTTACAGGACAGACAGGAAGTGATTAAATACTTACAGGACACACAGGAAGTGATGGAATGCTTACAGGATACACAGGAAGTGGTTTGTCGGACAGGAAATGCTTACAGGACACACAGGAAGTGATTTGTCAGACAGGAAATGCTTACAGGACACACAGGAAGTGATTTTTCAAACAGGAAATGCTTACAGGACACACAGGAAGTGATTTGTTAAACAGGAAATGCTTACAGGACACACAGGAAGTGATTTGTCAAACAGGAAATGCTTACAGGACACACAGGAAGTGATTTGTCGGACAGGAAATGCTTACAGGACACACTGTCACTACCCGATCTGTCCCCTGCCCGATCTGCAGTGCACATGTGCGAGATGGTCCGCCATATTGGACAACTCCGGACGGCAACCCGAGATGGACACTTGACACAGTGGCTTTTGGCAAAGCTCAAAAGGAAAACGAGAGAGAGAGAGATGAGTTATTGTTAATACAACGTGACTTCACTATTATTTAACAACTCTTTTTATTGGGTTCTTTTATTTGGGGTTAAGTACATTGTCAGAATAAGTGAGAAATGGATTTAACTTCTGTTAGACAGCTATCATACTGAATACATATTTACTGTGAATGTGTGCAAACATGTATGGCATATGGCTGTCTAACAGAAGTTACATTCATTCCTCACTTATTCTGACAATGTACTTAACCCCAAATAAAAGAACCCAATAAAAAGAGTTGTTAAATAATAGTGAAGTCACGTCGTAATAACAATAACTCATCTCTCTCTCGTTTTATTTTTCAGCTTTGCCAAAAGCCACTGTGTCAAGTGTCCTAGTTGGGTTGCCGTCCGGACTTGTCCAATATGGCGGACCATCTCGCACATGCGCAGTACGGATCGGGCAGGGGGACGGATCGGGTAGTGACACACACAGGAAGTGGTTTGTCAGACAGGAAATGCTTACAGCACACACAGGAAATAGAAACACCTACAAGGCGGAGACATAAAGCCTGCAGCCGTCAGCCAATCAGTGTGAAGGACTTTTTCTTTTCTACACTGATCACAGAACAGCACAAAATGTCTTATAGTATCAACACTTCAGTAGCATTAGCATTAGCAACCGTCCCACATACACCAATTGACCAAAAGTCATGTTTTAAAGTAAAATTAGCTGATTATATCATTGAACTTCTTAAAACGCAGTGACTACAAACACAGATCTCAGTGGGAAACACGTCAGATAATCACCACACTGGGACTGGGAATGTGAACTCACCTTTCAGAGCCAGTTTGCTTCATTAATTCGATTATTTTTTGCATTTCAAATTAGAAATCTGCCTCTCGGATGGTGGAGGAAAACACTCAGCTTCAAATCCAACCATCTTGTCAGTCACACACATCGTTCATTCTCCAAAAAACATCCACATTTTGCCTGTTAAAGAAGTTTAAAGTACACATTCGAGTGAAACGTCGGAGCATTAGTGCTTCTTTTTGAGACCTGAAGCGTGCTGGGTGTGCCAAAGACACATTATGGACAGAAATATCATAAGCAGCCCTCATGTATAACTGTTTCCCACCTCCTTGACTGTTTACAAGCAGCCTCTCAGATTGTACAGCAGACTCACATCACTCCTGAGCTTTAGCCATCCAGCCATTCGTGCCTTCTCTGCATTAAAGTTCCCTGAAGTCCTTTTCCTGGTTAGCATTCGGATCAAAATTAACACGGAAAGCCATCTACAGAGAACACTTTACCTACCTAACGCACCTTTACCTAAAATGTAATTTATTTATTTATTTAGGCTGTGAATTTATTTATTTTTATTAATGACGAGGAAATATTATAATATTTCTAGGAGAGAAAGGTCTACCTTCCCGATTGTTATGTAGCACACACACACACACACACACGCCCAGTAAGACACACACACGCGCCCAGTAAGAGACACACACGCGCCCAGTAAGAGACACACACACGCCCAGTAAGAGACACACACACGCCCAGTAAGAGACACACACACAGTTAGAGACACACACACGCCCAGTAAGACACACACACGCGCCCAGTAAGAGACACACACGCCCAGTAAGAGACACACACACGCCCAGTAAGAGACACACACACGCCCAGTAAGAGACACACACACGCCCAGTAAGAGACACACACGCCCAGTAAGAGACACACACACGCCCAGTAAGAGACACACACACAGTTAGAGACACACACACGCCCAGTAAGACACACACACACGCCCAGTAAGAGACACACACACGCCCAGTAAGAGACACACACGCGCCCCAGTAAGAGACACACCACACGCCCCAGTAAGAGACACACACACGCCCAGTAAGAGACACACACACAGTTAGAGACACACACACGCCCAGTAAGACACACACACGCGCCCAGTAAGAGACACACACGCCCAGTAAGAGACACACACACGCCCAGTAAGAGACACACACACAGTTAGAGACACACACACGCCCAGTAAGACACACACACGCGCCCAGTAAGAGACACACACGCCCAGTAAGAGACACACACACGCCCAGTAAGAGACACACACACGTCCAGTAAGAGACACACACACGCCCAGTAAGAGACACACACGCCCAGTAGAGGACACACACACGCCCAGTAAGAGACACACACACAGTTAGAGACACACACACGCCCAGTAAGACACACACACACGCCCAGTAAGAGACACACACACACACAGATAGAGACACACACGCCCAGTAAGAGACACACACACCCAGTAAGAGACACACACACACAGTTAGAGACACACACACGCCCAGTAAGAGACACACACACACAGTTAGAGACACACACATGCCCAGTAAGAGACACACACGCCCAGTAAGAGACACACACACACACACACAGTTAGAGACACACACGCCCAGTAAGAGACACACACGCCCAGTAAGAGACACACACACACACAGATAGAGACACACACACCCAGTAAGAGACACACACACACACACAGTTAGAGACACACACGCCCAGTAAGAGACACACACACACAGTTGGAGACACACACATGCCCAGTAAGAGACACACACGCCCAGTAAGAGACACACACACGCACACAGTTAGAGACACACACGCCCAGTAAGAGACACACACACACACACAGTTAGAGACACACACGCCCAGTAAGAGACACACACACACACACACACACACACACACACACACACACGTTAGAGACACACACGCCCAGTAAGAGACACACACACACAGTTAGAGACACACACACGCCCAGTAAGAGACACACACACACACAGTTAGAGACACACACGCCCAGTAAGAGACACACACACGCCCAGTAAGAGACACACACGCCCAGTAAGAGACACACACACAGTTAGACACACACACACAGTTAGAGACACACACATGCCCAGTAAGAGACACACACACATGCCCAGTAAGAGACACACACGCCCAGTAAGAGACACACACACACGCCCAGTAAGAGACACACACACGCCCAGTAAGAGACACACACACGCCCAGTAAGAGACACACACACACACAGATAGAGACACACACGCCCAGTAAGAGACACACAGTAAGAGACACACACGCCCAGTAAGAGACACACACACACAGTTAGACACACACACACACACACACGCCCAGTAAGACACACACACGCCCAGTAAGAGACACACACACACACAGTTAGAGACACACACACAGTTAGAGACACACACACGCCCAGTAAGAGACACACACACACAGTTAGAGACACACACGCCCAGTAAGAGACACAAACGCCCAGTAAGACACACACACACAACGCCCAGTAAGACACACACACCACTTGAACCCTCAGAACTACAATACCCAGGATGCATCACTACAGGCATTTGTTTATTTGCTTTGTGCACCATACGGTTACTTGTAGTATAGACAGTCATATTTCTGGTTTCTATTTTCTGTAACGGGAGCAAAGGACCTGGATTCTTGAAACTGAAACAAAGCAGGACTCTGGGGTTTTTGGGGGTGGGGTGTTTTTGTCTTTGGGTAAACAAAAGGGGTTTTAAAGTGCATGTCCCAGCTTTTTTTTGCATGAGGAATGTGCCTGCTTTTGAGTTGTGGGGGGCGGAGGAGTGAGGGCTGATGGGAGCTGACGGATGGATGCCCGCCCTGTTGGAGGCTGTTGGCTTTCAGATGTTTTAATAATTAAAGACTGCTGTTACATACACACTTTGCCAGGATTACATACTGTTCAAATAAAGAAGTGTTGTTTTGTAAGACGTCTGGTTTTTGTGCTACTCTCTGAGGAAACATTATCCTCGGTTTGTGCCTCATCGAGGGGTGAGACGTCTTTCTCTGAAAAATAAATACCAAAAGGTCCGTTTACAATTCCTAATGCTGCTCTGAAGAGATGTTCCAATTATGAGTGCTTTCGAAAGGTTTCCACACCTTCTCAAACAACATGAAGGACTTCCCAGGCCTAATTCCCTTTAAGACTCTTATAAAGGATTCATTAAGGGTTAATAACGAGGTTGTAAACACTTTATGAATCATTAAGAACCATTTATAAACCAGTTCTAACATAGTTTGCATACATCAACAGAGGCTCACTATTTGGCAAGATGACTAAGCCTTATATTGGCTACTTAGCGAGAATCAACTCAGTGAGCAACAGATACCAAGGATGCTGGCTGATGAAGGAGACGAAGTAAGCTAGGTAGCCAATATAAGGCTTAGCAGTACAGATAAAAGTGGGCTCACTATTTGGCAAGCAACCGGTCACAGTTGCCCTGTTTATCTCATGCCTTATGAAAAGCTTATTAATGATTTATAATGTGTTCACAACCTGATTAATAAATACATTACAAACTATTCGTGAACCCTTTATAAGGGTAGTCTTATTGTAAAGTGCTACCAACTTATTTGTATTGGACATTTGACTTATTCTACGACTTTATATTAATATAAATATCTGCATTTTGTTTTTAATTGCACTTTCTTTACATACTATCTTTTGGATTAACGTTGATTTCATTTCATTGACTCTAAACACTGATGCTTGAACTGTCTCACGATGACAGAGAAACCTAGACCTAAAAGTAAAACATAGTGAAACAACTTTCAAGTGTTTTCTTTCCTGGAGAGAAACTTCCACTGAAGGGATTTTTGAGTTTGCACTAAAACCTGTATAAAAAACAAAAAAGCGTAATGGGTTAATATGTTGCAGAGAAACTTGTATTAACCTCTGTGACTTCCTCACAGTGGAAATACATGAGGCACAGAGTACTGTATATGTATGCTTTAGACCAGGGGTCGGCAACCTTTTTGATATGGAGTGCTGCGGGGAAGCAGTGTGTGGACCTGTCAGCGCAGCTTACATGATGCCGAATTTAACAAACAAACGGCATAATAATAAGGGCGATCGTCCGTTCTGTGATTCTCCAGAACACACAGATGGCCAGTCCGCCCTTTGTAGCATGTTATTTCGATGAGAGATGAGCAGATCACCACTGGGCTTTCAACTAAAGACACAGCCACGCAAAAACTGCGGCATTTGTACAGCTCCTTATGGGTACTGCAATTAGTGAAGTGCTTTCCTCTCCGTGGTGAAACGATCAGCACCACGGAGGAAAGCGGCAGAAAGTCACCTGGAGTTAAAGAGAGCGGGGCTGCGTTGCGTGCATGGCTTCCTTCTGCGGGTAACGGGGAGACGCGCTCTGGCGGCGGTCTCGTTCAGGATCGGAAAATACAATTTTAATATTTTGCACACTTATTCCACCTAGAGTGCCACTGGTTACGGTGCCGTGCCAGGGGGTTGCCGACCCCTGCTTTAGACTGAGGTTTAAGCTAGTAGCCTACTACACACACACTTCAAATGTAAACACACACAGCATTTTAGACATTTATCAGAGAAGAATAAATAAGACAACACAAGAGGAGATTCTTCTTCAAGTCTGCATATATTTTCAATGGCAACATTCATTCTATCAGAGTTTCAGTAAGGATTGAAATGTCAGGGAACAACAGTCTAGAAAGATCCTGATGGGAGAGGAAAGTATATAATGAGGAAATGAAGCACTTCTGCTGCTGTGGACGTGCCTTACATCCACTGTCCTCGCTTCTCCAAAACACTTCAGAGGAGAGAGAGAGAAATCCCTTTTGACAAACACACACAGAAGAGGGGCTGACATTGTTAAACCGAGCAGTGAGGACACATGAACCCTCTTATCTCGGCTGTGTGAACTCATGCCTGTTAGTTAGTAACCGGGCAGGTCAGAGTGAGCTCTCTGGATCTACATTTCCCATTGGGACTATAAGGATGTTGGACAGAAGTGACGGACGGCAGTGCACGCAGAACCACAACGGTGAGAAAATCAAAAACAGAAATTCAAGGAGAATCACATTTCCTTTCCTTATTTACCTCAAAAAAAAAAAATCCACATTCAAAGTCATTTCCATAATCAGACTGCAGTGGATTCACTGCCAGGGTTCAGAGAGCATGAATGAAAACATAACGGGGGAAAATACAAATCCAAAAATATATATTTATGTTTATATTTATATATATTTATATATTTACGAGGTATGTATCCACAAAAAAATGAAAAAAAAACACCCAAAATTCCAAAATAGGCAAGTCTGTATTTTTCCAAATGTGTCCTTGCTTGCGGCGCCTGAAGGAAACATTATTAATAGTAATATTAATTAAAAAGGAAATAAAACCGGGAAGCTTTGCTGTCCGACAGCCGTGCTCAAAAACCTCGTAGTCCATTTCTCTGAGAGCGCCATCTCCATCGTAAGGAGTCCAACAGGCTGTCGCACGCCAACCAAACTCACAAAGTCCCAAAAGGAAAAATATCACTTCATTGTTGAAAGAAAACAAACAAGCAAACCCCTCCTAACCGTTAATCTCCCAACAACCACAGAGTCTCCGAGGTGAGGTCTGGAGTGAGGTGGTGGTGGTGTGGGGGAGGGGGGAGAGGGGGGGGGGGGGGGGGGGGGGGGGGGGAGGCCAGCCACAGGTCCACAAAAGGTGTCTTTGTGCAAAAAAAAAAAACTGAAAAAAAAGAGCCGATGGCCGGTTTCCTCCCGACGATTGTTAGTGAGGCTGGCAGTGGAGGATCTCTGCCCCCTGTGGTCACGCGAGGTACTGCTGCATCGCCGTCTTCGCCCTGAGAGAGAGGGACACAATCAGACCAGTTATTAAAAAGCAGAGGGGGAAGTAGTGGAGTACAAATACTTTGTTACTGTACTTAAAGGTAGGGTAGGTAAGAATGGAGAAACCAGCTCGAGTGAGCAAGAATTTGAAAGTAAACAACCGGAAAAAATCTGCCCCTTCCTTCAGACTTCCTTACAGAGCCCCTCAGAGCTGAATAGGACTACAGAAGTTGTGGAGGCCGTTGTACGTCATTGCGCCGAACACGTAAACACTCCTCTAAGTTTGTTTGCCCTGTTCTGCTTGAAAGCAAACTGTTCAAACGCTTCAACTCGTTCCATTTAGAATCTGTAGTTTGAATATGGATCTTAAGTTGGCGTGACGTTGAAGTCGTGCTGCTGGACTCGTCTGTAGTTCCTTGATAGCATTACGGTAGCATTTTGCTTCTGGCGAATAGATTTATGATTCGAACATTTAAAAAGTAGGGTAGACATGTGGAGATTATCCGGCTGAACAAACGTGCATTTATCAAACAGGTTCTTTCTCCACAGACCTTATTTGGAGCTATTTTCCAAAATCCTACGGAGAAATCCCGTTGCTCTTTTGTCGAGGGAACCCATACGCAGCTTACTTCCAGGTAAATACTTCATCCCTGCACCGCTCTATTGGCCGAAGGTAATACACTGACTACAAAGTATCTCCATACATACTGTACAACCCCATTTTGTAAAAAGACAAACTATGGCTTTGATAACCGTCTTGATTTTGCTCTCCTGGCTAGGGGTGCAACAACTAATCGACTTAATCGATTAAAATCGACTACCAAATTAGTTGGCAACTAATTCAGTCGTCGATTCGTTGGTGACGTCATCACATGTGTTCTACACCCCGTTAAACTCCAACGTTATCGCTCTTTTTTATCGATACAGGAGACATTTAAAACATATGTCATATGTATTATTGCTACATAAACATTATATCGCAGTCTTAGTGTCGCCAACTCCGTTTCTAATATGCAATATGACTATAAAATGCGTCTATAATGTATTTTCGATCTTCCCAATTCAGACGAGATCTCTCTCCCCCGCCTGCTTGCGAGGGGGCGGGGCAGTTTACACACACACAGCTGCTACATGCATGCAACACACACACGGAGGAGATGGAGGAGAGAACGCACTCCGAAGTGTGGTTAAACTTTAGCCGTCTCGATGTGGACAATGCTCGTTACCAAAAGTGCAATAACAGTTTATCATGTAAGGGTAACGTTTCCACGTCAGGTGTTATGTATGCTAGCAGCAACACACAGAGTTAACTCAGTTATAAAAACATGGGTTAATGATTAGAGGTAACTGAGTTATTTAGTTTGTTAAAGTTTCAGCTATTCTGTTCACAGTTCTGTCATCACATTATTTAATATGATTTGTTAAAACATTGTTGTTTCTTTTGATGTGAAATATTATTTATTTAATTTAAATAAAAAGCAATGTTAGTTTTGTTCACAATTTGTTTAGTTAGTTTACCTTATTTCTTGTCAAAAGAACCGTTAATAGCCTACTATCGTTAAAAGGACCGGATCGATAAGCAGTATCGATATAAGTAGTAGTACAGTTAAAACCTTAACGAGCCGATTAATCGATTAATCGTTTCATTAATCGATAGATTAATCGATTATCAAATTAGTCGTTTGTTGCAGCCCTACTCCTGGCCCACCTGTCACAGAGGTTGGGGTCCGAGGCCTGGGTGAGTTTGTGCAGAATGTCGACAAAGCCCATCTCTCTCAGTTTATCCTGACGCTCCTGAGAACCTGAAACACATAAAAAACATTCAATTAAAGGCATAAATGGCTTTCTTAAATCATTAAGCATTCATTGCAGTATAGTCTAAATGTTCTTGTTCATAAAGCCCCTGTCACACTGTCTCGAAATTGACACACGAATATGGAATTGTGAATTTCGCACGAAGATGGCCCCGAACCACACGAAGGCAACATTTACATTACATTTAAGACATACAACTGCAACGAAAGTAACACAAACAATCTTAAAGTACTTTGTTCTTTACTTTCTCCGTCTTTATATGTAGAAGATATTAAGTTTTCTCCGTCATGTTGTTTCCATAGCAACAACAACAACTTCCTGTCAAAAGCTTAAACTCGCCTTCAAAATAAAACCATCTAAATAAAACAGGAAGTTAACCTAAATTACATTCAAGACATACAACTGCAACGAAAGTAACAAACTATTTAATATCCTTTTCAGTTTCACAGAAAATCCGGGCGAAAATTACGGCATCGCCCACTTTTGGGGGGAAACAACGCTGTAATTTGAATGGCGGTCGATACAAACTCTGAAGTTTTTGCCAATCCGATCAGAAATGTAAGAAAACCGTGGATTTGTGGATCTTCAAAGAGCCCGATTACGATGGCCAGACAGGCAAACAATTACATTAAATCATTTGAAATTGACGATCGGGCTCGATATATGGTTAAATTAAAATCAGTAGGCGAGGCTGTAATTTTCGCCAGCTGTTACTCTCATGAGCGAGGCGGAAAATAATAGTTTTATCATTCCAAAAAGCTGCTGTGTCGTTTATTGCACCTCAAACAAATCCAGAGTTCAGTGTTTCTGAACTTCCTCTAAGAACAAAGGAGCTCTGTGGCTTCAGGCTTGACCGGCATTCAAATGACAGCGTTGGTTTCCCCCAAAAGTGGGCGGGGCCGTAAAGTGACGTAGACGTTACTCTCATCTATGGACATCGATTGTCAACTGCTATATTTTACCATATATCGAGCCCGATCGTCGATTTCCAATGATTGAATGTAATTGTTTGCCTGACTGGCCATCGTAATCGGGCTCTAAGAAGATCAGAAAATCCACGGTTTTCTTACATTTCTGATCGGATTGGCAAAAACTTCAGAATTTGAATTGACCGCCATTCAAATGACAGCGTTGTTTTCCCCCAAAAGTGGGCGGAGCCGTCATTTTTGTCCGGAAGTGACGCATGTGTTACTCTCATCTATGCCCTCATGCTGGCCTTACGAAGGGCAAAATGGACACACAAATTCAACACGAAAATGAACCTTCGCAAGGTCCTTCGGCAATTTTTTGGCATGCCAAAGATTTTGCCACCGCTCACGAAGTTGCTGCCGGAGCCTGAGAAACTCCACCGGCGGTCATACGAAGGCTTAAGATGCCCTCACGAATGGCCCGATGTTGTTACGATCAGAGCCGAATTTGAACATTTCCTTTATCCATCTGGTGTCAATTTCGGGACAGTGTGACGCGGGCTTTAACAGATGTCACTTTTGCTCTAAAAGAAGTTAAAATGTGTTAAACGTTGACCTGAGCTGTGCTGACCTTTTGGGGAACAATCGCTGCTGACCACTGCTTGAACTGAAAGATGAAAAACAATTACTTGAGTTTCTGATTTTCCAGCAATAACAAATAACAAAAAGGCTTTAAATTGAAACTCTGAAACATGGCGTTCTGCTGCTAGCAACATTAGCATTGTAGCTAAGGTGGCTTAGCACAGCGCCCCCTAGAGTCCAGGATGTTTCTCTGCAGTAACAGGGATTCAGATCAACAATTTCAACATATGAGACCGGTACAACTTATAAACCATCATTTAAAAATTGTTTAACTGATGTGGTACTGTTGGCAAACAGTGAAATGTTAATTTATTGAGTTAAATATTTCATAGAAATGCTTAAATGTGTGTTATTTAAACAGATTATTGTTGTACACATTACACATTTTAAATAATATAATAAAAATGTGCAATTAAAACATTATTTGTAATAATAAAAAAATTAAAAAACATTGACACATGGACCCGATATGTTTAAATATTCATTCAATAATTCAATATCTTGTCTTTTAACAGCTATGATATCATTAGTTCACATAACAAACTAGTAAACAATTTCATTATAGCATAAATCAGTATACATTATAAATAACCGTTTTATTGGTTCTTGGCTATAAAATGATTATTATTAACTCTCAATTCACCATTTATTTACAAGGGGTTATTATAAAGTGCTACCATAACTAAACCCATGAGAAACGCGAGCTTACCGTCCTCCTCGTTCCAGATCAGGTTGGAGACGCAGAACGTGGCGGCGAGCTGCAGTTTTACATTCGAATGCCCCTGCAGGAACAGAAGAAGAACAACAATTACAAGGGAGGGGAAAGCATCAACAAGAAGTCTAACTACTAAAACACAGAGTAGTGTTCAGATACAACATCCTGCATCATCTGATTCCCATTCAGAGAATCAGTATGCATGCTGCAACAACACCAGCATCAGGTCTGATCGCATGGATGAGCTACTGTTGGGAAAATACTGAATGTCCTCTTCCAGTATGAGAGTAACATGATAACAAAGGTATCCCAACTGTAGCTGTGAACATGACAGGATGTGTGATTACCTAGAAGAGCATCAGGACTGTTTGAGGCATGTGATAGCTATGTGATTAACATGATGATTCAGCCTCTATGGAGAGACATATGACAAGCATGCTCATCTAATCTGAAGTAAATGTTGAATTTTTAGGTTTTGAGAAAAAGTCAGAATTTTTAGAGAAAGTCGACATTTTGACATTTATAAAAAAAAAAATTCATACTTTTGCAAAACAATTCATAATTTTGAGACAAAAGTAATATTTTTATTCTCCAGAATTTTGAGAATTTGAGAAAAAGTCAGTATTTTCTACATGACAGGATGTATGATTACTTAGAAGAACCGGTATTCCTCCATCTTGTGACTGTGTAACTCCCTCTCTTGGATATCAGCATGTGAAGGACACTGCTCAGGAACTACTTGATGCTCTGTATGTGATGACTACTTCCATTCTGGAGAGGATCACAGGTACATGGATCCTGAGATTCAAGCTCAAGACGGGGACCAGTGATTATTAACATTTTTAAGTATTCAGAAAAAGTGAGAATTTTGAGAAAAAGTGAGAATTTTGAGATTTTGAGAAAAAAGTGAGGATTTTAAGATTTTAAGAAAAAAAACTCAGTATTTTGTACATGACAACCGGTATTCCTCCATCTTGTGACTGTGTAACTCCCTCTCTTGGATATCAGCATGTGAAGGACACTGCTCAGGAACTAGTTGATGCTCTGAATGTGATGACTACTTCCATTCTGGAGAGGATCACAGATACATGGATCCTGAGATTGAAGCTCAAGACGGGGACGAGTGATATTTTCCTAACAGCTACAGTAGAGCTTATAAAAAGTACCATGTAGTATTTGATTTTCTGCAGCATGTCGTCATTGGTCATGAGGATTTCCTTGGCTGTGTTGCCGTCTGCGATGTTGGCGAGGATGCACAGCGTCTGGCAGGAAATAAAAACCTTACATCAGTGACCAACATGGATTTTGTTGTGATGCAAAACAAAGACAGTTTCACCCCACAGGCCATAAGACTGTTAAACACCTGACGTTTTGAAAGAACATCCATAACATTCATCTGTTTGCAACTTACATATATCAATATTCCAATTACTTGTATATAGACTATTCTGCACTATCAACTGATTCTCACGGATGTTCTCCCATTTCTACAACCTCCACTGCAGATGAATAAAGACTCGTACCTGCAGAATGTTAAAATGTGCAGCAGGGGATGAGCGCTCACCTGCTCTTTGACCTCCACACTGTGCTCCGCCTCCAGGATGAGGGTCACCGCCTGCAGGATCTGCTTCCCGTGAGAACTCATGATCTGGTCGATGTGCTGGCGAATCAAGAGAGGAAGCAGGAGAGATTCAGTATGCAGGCATGTAGGCAACATCTCTGAAGGATGTATGCAAACTCAGCACTCGCCACTGGACGATTTGAGGAGTTCATGTCATGATTATCCAGGGTAAAATAATTGCCATTCAGGATATTATCCCAGTTAATCATGAATGGACTCTTAAAATGGTATTAAAATATGCTGGAATAATTTGGTATTACGTTAAAGGGGACCTATCATGCAAAATCCACTTTTTGATGCACTATGTTGCAAATGCATTATATTTTCAATTTACACACGGCATCTATTGCACGTCTGTCCGTCCTGGGAGAGGGATCCCTCCTCTGTTGCTCTCCCTGAGGTTTCTCCCATGTTCCCTTTAAAACTGTGGGTTTCTCCGGAAGTTTTTTCCTTGTACGATGTGAGGGTCTAAGGACAGAGGGTCTAAGGACAGAGGGTCTAAGGACAGAGGGTCTAAGGACAGAGGGTCTAAGGACAGAGGGTCTAAGGACAGAGGGTCTAAGGACAGAGGGTCTGAGGACAGAGGGTGTCGTATTGTCATACTGATATTCTGTACACACTGTGAAGACCACTGAGACAAATGTAACATTTGTGATATTGGGCTATATAAATAAACATTGATTGATTGATGTGTTTTCTACATCAACATGTGTCCCCGGTGCGTCGGGGAACTCACGCAGCGTCAGAAAATAAAACCCTCTCTCTTTTCCTCCGTACCCACATCTCTAAAAACGGGGCTACAACTAGTGTTAATTTCGTCAGCTATTTTTTTATTTAGTTTTAGTCTTAGTCCTGTGTTAAATTTCATATTTAGTTTTAGTCATATTTAGTCACCTTCATCCTGTTTTTTTAGTCAAGATTTAGTCGACTAAAAGTCTGAGCATTTTAGTCATATTTTAGTCAAAGAAAACTAATCATTTTAGTCTACTTTTTGTCAATGAAAACTGTTGAGTCTTTTTTAGTCATCAGATTATATAGAACATTTCAGTCAAACTAGTCTAGCCAAAACCAATCATTTGTCATTTTAGTATATATAAATAAATAAGATTATATCTTGTCCTTATTTGATGAAAAACACAAGTTGAATGATAAAGCAGCTTTGCAGAGAGTATCTGCTCAGGTTTGTGGTGTTTTTGTGTTATGGCCACATTGCTTCCCTTCTGATAAAACAATGCATTCGCTTTTTTTCTCCGCCTCATTGTAGCGAAAATGGGCCCAAATATCACATCGTTTCTTTCTCCCAAGCAGTGGTGGCTTTAGACTTTTTCGTTGTCAGTCATTTTGACGGACAGGATCGTAACATTTCCGTCATAATCCATTATTATCCGTCGAGTGCACAATTTATCTCTCACTCGCGCTGACGGCGGGGGGGGGGGGTCTTCGGTTAACGCGAGTGCGACCACTGCTCCCAAGCCCTGTTGTTGCCATTTCATTTTCTGTTAAATAACGTTAGTTAGACCATGAGTTAGACCCGAGTCTTCCTGACAGTTCACAGTGTGCCGCTGCCCGGTGTAATTCAAATCTACCGCCGCGCGCAGCACAGACACACAGCTGCTGCCCAGCCGCAGCACGGACACACAGCTGCTGCCCAGCCGCAGCACAGACACACAGCTGCTGCCCTGCCGCAGCACGGACACACAGCTGCTGCCTGCCGCAGCACCGGAAATGGAACTGCTGGGAGAAAACTGACTATCAGAGATGTAACGTTATCTTTGATAATATTTCGTCTCCTCATTTTTCCTCAACGAAAGTAAAGAGAGATTTTGGCATAGTTTTTATTTAGTAAACTACATTTTCGTCTCGTCACTTTTCGTCAACGATATTGCATGATGATTTCGTTACAGTTATTGTTTACTGCCGTCGGTGCCGTCTCGTCATCGTCTCGTTTTCGTCATGGAAAAAAAGGTCCAATCAGAAACGTTGCTATCAGAAACAATGCCCGACTGTTTTGGACGTAATATGGTCGGTGTTTACATTAGCATCGCTAACACTCAGAGCTAACCTGTACTGGAGAGCATGTGTGTGAAGAAGCAGGAAGTAGAAAGGAACTCACCTTGTGGTATAACCGGCAAGAGAGAAAGCCTTTGAGCTCCATACTGTTTCAGAGAGAATCCTTGATAATCCATGATATGGCGTTTCATCAGGGCAGCATTTAGTTTAGACAGTAGCTGCCGGGTCCCGCATGAGCTCAGACCCCTCCTTTTTATTTGTTATCAATTTATTTTTTATCAGCACGTTTGAAACAGGAAGTGAAATAGAGGGATTTGAGGCATGGCTAGAATGGGTGATCTGTTTGGTATTTTGAGCAAAGCACTTCATAGACATGATTTTTATATATCTGAGACCTATGCTATTGCCTAGAAATAGCATGATAGGCGAACTTTAAGATACATAAATATTTGTACTGCATCGAAGAGAGGACATATCTTTCTTAATAACTTTGAGCAAAGAAAAACACAAAAACATCTTGGAAAAAGTCAAATCTATGGTCTCCATAAATAATAGGATACCTCGTACAGTAAAATAAAAAAACAACATTGTGTGGTCGAGAGAAATAGGGAAATTATCATGTGGACGGGAAACAAAGGATTTCGGGGTTTTGAAAGAAGCCCTGAGAGACAAATGTGAAAACAAAAATATTCTTATGTCATTTTGACATCTGATTGAAAAAAGTGTCTTGCAGGACGTTCAGCCTTGTGTAGCTAGAATTACATCAACAAACATTCTCACCTGTTTTATGTATGATTTGTATTTTTTACAAGTCGTTAACACCGGAGAGAAAGACCTAAGAAAATGGATCAGCAGAATTAAAATGTCTCACTTTTGTCCCAGGGCTTCCTTTACTGTGCTGTAACCCAAGAGCAAAACGCTTCTCAAATAGACTTCATCAAATCAAAGTAGTACCTCTCCATGTTTGAACACCAACACGATATCACTAGTAAGATGTTCCAGAAATGTGCTGTAGATAAGTAAGGCTCATATTCCATCACTAATGCATTGTACTAATACGTCTCTGATCGTGTGTGTGTGTGTGTGTGTGTCTTACTGGACGTGTGTGTGTGTGTCTCTTACTGGTGTGTGTGTGTGTGTGTGTCTCTTACTGGACGTGAGTGTGTGTGTCTCTTACTGGACGTGTGTGTGTGTGTGTGTATGTGTGTGTGTGTGTGTGTCTCTTACTGGACGTGTGTGTGTCTCTTACTGGACGTGAGTGTGTGTCTCTTACTGGACGTGTGTGTGTCTCTTACTGGACGTGTGTGTGTGTGTCTCTTACTGGACGTGAGTGTGTGTCTCTTACTGGACGTGTGTGTGAGTGTGTGTCTCTTACTGGACGTGTGTGTGTGTGTGTGTGTGTGTGTGTGTCTCTTACTGGACGTGTGTGTGTCTCTTACTGGACGTGAGTGTGTGTCTCTTACTGGACGTGTGTGTGTCTCTTACTGGACGTGTGTGTGTGTCTCTTACTGGACGTGAGTGTGTGTCTCTTACTGGACGTGTGTGTGAGTGTGTGTCTCTTACTGGACGTGTGTGTGAGTGTGTGTCTCTTACTGGACGTGTGTGTGTGTGTGTGTGTGTGTG